TCAGCAGCAAAATTAAAGACTGGAGAGCATGAACTGGGATTTGGTAACTACTCTATAAAATTAAGTTTTTAAGAGCTTAATACCATACCATCAGGTCAGCAGAAGCAAAGGGACTGGTCACAAGCTAAGCTTGATTTTGTCCAAACTATTCTTATCTTTCAAAAGAAAAAGAGTAAGGAGATTTTGAATTAAAATCTTCACTGGCTTCTGTGATCTGTACTTGGCAGGAGTTCTGAGTAGATGGTCAAATTCTCCTGGGTAAATGCTGTAATATTTGCAAGCTGAGTTCATGTCATAGAAGTCTGGAAGTAAAAGTCAAGTCCCATAATGTCACCTTTGCCATCACTTTTCTAAGTTAAATTTAACTTTTTGGGATCTCTGCAAACACATTGCTTGTGCCTCTTTCACTGATTTTTGCTCCACTCTGTTCTCTGAGGCCTGAAGACCTGAGTGAGACGGATTAAAGTTTTTTTAAATTATGTTTCATTGCTGCAGTTGAAATGTTATTTAATGGCTTACTTGATCCTGGTGAAAAGAAGTAGTAGTAGACAAAGAAGTTTCGTGTGAAAGGCACAGAGTTGGTTGTTATGAGGAAAGTTAAACTGTCAGAGGAGGATTCAAGCACTGGGACTGCATCTGTGTCATCACACACTTGTCCAAGGAGAGCTGAAGCAGTGGAGGCACCATCAAACACCCTGATGCTCTCTGTTTCACAGCTTGAAGAAGGAGCAAATCTGTAGGGAAAAGCACAGTGAGAATCACCTGAGCTCCCTGGCAAATGTGCACAGGGGCTGGGGCAGTCCCACAGATACAGCCTGGGTGGAGAATGGGCTGGGAACAGCCCTGAGGAGATGGATTTGGGGGTGTTGGTGAGTGAGAAACTCAACATGACCCAAAAGTGCAACACTGAAAATGAATGGGAGATTGAGGGAAGTGATTCTTCCCATGGGACCCCAGCTGGAATGCTGCATCCAGCCCTGGGAGCCCAGCACAAGAAGGATGTGCTGGAGACAGTCCAGAGGAGGCCATGGAGATGCTCCCAGGGCTGGAGCCCCTCTGCTCTGGGACAGAGCTGGGGAGGCTCACCTGGAGAGGAGAAGGCTCCAGGGAGAGCTCAGAGCCCTTCCAGGGCCTGAAGGGGCTCCAGGAGAGGGACTGGGACAAGGGATGGAGGGACAGGGCACGGGGAATGGCTTCTCACTGCCAGAGGGCAGGGTTAGATGGGATTTGGGGAAGGAATTGTTCCCTGTGAGGATGGGCAGGCCCTGGCACAGGGTGCCCAGAGCAGCTGTGGCAGCCCCTGGATCCCTGGCAGTGCCCAAGGCCAGGTTGGACAGGGCTGGGAGCACCTGGGACAGTGGAAGGTGTCCCTGCCATGGCTGGGGTGGCACTGGATGGGATTTAACTCACATCCAACCCAAACCATTCTGGGATTCACTGGAGAGCACAAAACAGATTCAACAGAGAGAAATATTTAGAGGCAATACATTTCTGTGCTATATTCTAGTGGAATGAAACAGCGCAAAAGCATCTGTAGGAAATACTTACTTAAAATGGGAGAAAACAATCCTAATTGTTTGATTTGCATTCCTCTGGATTTGCCAGGTGCAGTTTGCATTTGCATTGAGTTCAATCCTTAGTGCTTTGTTGGGCTCATGCAGTGCAGCCCCACAGCGAGGAACCCCTGTTGGACAGCAGCAACAATCACAGAAACAGCTTGCAAGGATTTCTCTCAAGTTTTCTCTTGCAGTGAATATTTAATCCTCTATCATACAAAGACTGGAAGAGTCCATCATCAAACAGATATGAAAAATGTGCTAATTTTATAAAAATTATTTTATTTTACTTCATCTTATGAAATCTGATGAATCAGATGGTAAAAGAATATTAAAAAACCATGGTCTGTTCTGGTTTTCCTAGCAGCAAAGGATCAAGCCAGCAGCACAACTGGAAATGCCAAGTGCTGCAGGACACCTCAGCAACCCTTTTCAGCAAGGTTTGTCACCACAAGCAATTCAAGCCTTGGGACTTGTAAGTACCCTTATGAAAAAGCCCCACAACTCAACTATGTCTGACATCACTGACACTAATTAATAGCTTAGGAAGTAGTTCAAGTAATGGCCATTGGATGGGAAACTCTGGAGAAAGTTTGTAATCCACTCTGAGCATAAGATCTCCTTTCTACTCTAACAGAATTATATTTAATTATATATTCATTTATATATATAAAATAAATATCTATTTAATCATTATGTTAAATAATAATTACATATAATATAATATAATTATATTATAATGAAATATATTTTATCTTTTATAGTTTATACAATATATTATATAATTATAGAAATATGTATTATAAAAATATATAATAGTATTATTAAATATTATATTAAATATATAATATGTATTACATATATAATTATATGGATATGTATTATATAGATACATAATATTATAATTAAATATATATTATACTTTATATTAAATATAAGATAATTATATAACTCTTATATTTAATTATATTATTATATTTAATATTAAATATAAAAATAATGATCTAAAGCAGTCAGAAGAATTTTCTGTGGAGTGCATGCAGCCCCAGAAAATAAGGTCAGGATTTCTGATGGACTCCAGAGGGAATAGAAAGGTTGAGAGAGACTTTTGCCATCACAAATGAAACCTCCTCTCTGTAAGAGCCTTACAGGTCAGTCCTGCCCTCTGCACTCTCTGGGGTCAGACACCAGTGGAGCAGCTCTGCTGCAATATTTCATTATCCTGCAACAGCCATCCTCCTTTAATCAGCCACCTTGCTGATCTGAGCAGCAAACAGCTCTTTATTGCTTCTGATTGAGCAAAGAAGAAATGAACAAATCTCTGTCAAAAAGCAAACATTTCCCAATTAGTCTCCTGATTTCTGTTGTTCCAATACAGTGTTAATTTATAAAAGCAAATTTACATTCCAGAGTAAAACTGCTTCAAAATCAAGTTCTTAAAATAAAATAACTGCCATAGGGTGGACCGTATAGAATATTTTTTATTATTTACCATTTTTAGTCACGTTCAGGTGTCACTATCATGCCATCAGCACATTAAAATAAGATTCACTTTAAGAGATGTTTAACATTTTGCCCTTCAGTTGCCTATGTGAGACCTGTTGTGCAGAAATCAATAAAATATCACAGATAAACAGATTTTCATACCTGTGAATTCTACTGAGTTGCTTTCAGAGAGAGCCAGGGCAGTGAGGAGAGGCAGGAGGAGGAACTGCCAGAGCAGCTGCATTTTGAGGGCAGCTGGGGAGGGCAGGCTTTGGCTTTCCTGGCTTTTATACCTGCTGCTATTTCACAGCCACCCTGTGGCACCAAGAGGGAGGGTTTAATCTGTCAGTCAGTGTTTCTTTTTAACAGATATAAATGAGAAAGTAACAGGTGGGCCCATTTTTTTAAACAGGCGCTGTGTGGAGTAAGTTTAAAGGGCTTTTGTCAGCTCAAAGCACATTTTCCAGTGGATTTCATTGAGGGGCTGTTTGGGGGTGTTGGCATGAGCAGGAATGTTGTGGAAGGGATTGACAGACTCCCTTGGGAGACACATTTGCAGTTTTCTCTCAGCACTGCTCAGCAGGAGTTCGGTTTCTCCCACCTTCATTTTGACACCTCTCCCTTTAGGTTACACAGGGCAGATATTCCCTGTCCTTGCTGGGGATTGCAAAGAGCAACTGCTGTAAAAGAGTTGTCATGAATATATTGCTGAAACACCCAGGGATGAGCAGGGCCAGATTGTCACAGATTAAAATGAGAAGATTGCACTGCAACCACTTTGCAGACAGGACTTTCTTAGACCTACACTAGGAGCTAGAGAAGGAAAAAGGGAATCAGCCTTTCCTTCCTGAGGCAAGGAAACAAGCACAGCCCTGAAAGCCTGAATTCCTTTCAGCACAAATTACCTGTTCCAAGATATTCACCCTATTTTGTCTCATGAGGACCAAAGCTCTGAAAAAATGACAGAGTGTTGCAGGGTGTTTCTCAGCGCAGCAGAGAGCTCCCAGTCCCTAGAGCTGCTGAGGCTGTGCCAGGGGCCCAGGTGTGCTGGTACCTGGCCTTGGGTCAGGCTGGGACCTGGGGGTGGGAGCAGCCAGGGCTCCCCAGGAGCTGCTGAGGGCAGCACAAACCCCACAGCTGTGCAAACAGGGCTTCTTCCAACTTTACTAGAAAATAAAGTCAAGACCTTCTTGAAACACAGCCAGGTGCTTTTCTTCCATTGTAATTTTTTTTTTTTTTTTTTTTTGACAAAACCATTTTCTTTTATAAGAAAACTGATATATAATGCATTTGTAATGATACTGTATTTCTAATCTCAGACCTATGACTTCTTTAAAACAACTCTCTCTGATTTTTAACTCACTTTAAGGATTTTGATCTTGCAAGTTGAGTACGTTTCATTGAGGTCTGGAAGCAAAAGTAAGGTCCCATAATGTCACCTTTGCCATCACTTTTCAGAGTTAAATTCAACTTTAATTTAATCTAAACTTTAATCTAAGTTAAATTTAACATTCTTCATTGTGAAATGTACTTACACTGCCTTTGAGTGTGGAGGCACTAAATACATGTTTAAGGATGTTGCACAGCATTTGAATTCCCTTTGGCTTCTGGAAATGCTAAATTTGCATTTACTCTGTGTAGCCTTTTATTTCTTAAACCCACACACGTACTTTTGAGGAATTTTCATATGTTAACATCCTTTTTGTGCCTGGCTGTGACTCTGCAGTGAATGTGTGAGCTGGCCTGTGGATCCCTGCCAGTCAGTGCTCCAGGACCCAATGCCCTTTAAATCAATACCTGTGAGAAGCAGAGCACAGGGTTAGGAGTGTGGTGGAGTTTTGTGTGAACTGAGTACGATTAGAACTGAAGGAACATTGAGAAGGAAACAAAATCTTGAGAAAAAACAGGCAGTTGGTCCAATTATTTTTTGTCACTGAGAGTATTTATTGAAGTTCAGGCTTTTACAAGATCCACCGCATAGATTCGAAAGATCTGAATTTAAGCAACCCAAGTTCATTTAAGATGAAATACCTTTAGATTTACGCCCACTAGCATATTTTTGGAAATCAGCAGCAGATCTTGGAACACAATGAACAGGTCTAGAGGTGCTCAACATAATGCCATGGTCAGAAGCATCATTACTAGGAGACGATGATAATAACGACGTCGCTTGCGCTTCTCCTGGCTCTTCTCCTGTTCCATGGGAAGGGTCTGGGAGGGGGGAACCTGTTCCCTGGGAAGGGTCTGACAGGAGGGAACCTGTTCCCTGGGAAGGGTCTGACAGGAGGGAGCCTGTTCCCTGGGAAGGGTCTGACAGGAGGGAGCCTGCCCCCTGGGAAGGGTCTGGGAGGAGGAGGAGGAGGACGGGGTGCATTGCACCCTGATACTTTGCACCTCAGGCAGAGTCTGGGGTTTACAGCAGCCCCGTAACGGAGCTGGATGAGCCTCTGGCCTGGTGAAGGCTGATTCCCACAGGTTGGATCCTTTACACACCTGAAAAAAGGGAAAAAAAACAACCCCACGTATTGATTTTGTCATGACTGTGGCATGCTCACTAAGTTTGTTTCCTCGGTTGCAAGAAGCTTTCTCCCACAAATGTCCAGCAGCGATGTTAATCACAACTCACAGCACTGAGCCCCTGTCATTCCTTTCCATGCCACTGCATGGAATTTGGATGTCTGTTGGTGCAATTTGTACCACAACACATACAAATGTAATGCCACACCTCGTGGAATTTTGTCAATACATATTAAATCACATTACAAACTGTACAGTGATGAGGCAGTGGAATTTTACTGCACACTCTGCTATGGTTCATGCTTAATTAAAACAAACTAAAGGACAGCCGTGGAAAGAAGGATTTTGAATTTTTGGAAGCTTAGAGCTGTCCATGAAGGATTCCCCTGGGCAGCATCCCAGGCCCTCTGACGTGTCTTTGAATCCCTGCCAGCATCATCTGGTGCCACAAATCAGTGACTCCAGCAAGGATGGCTCCTGGGACATTTGGATCAACAGACACGCACCAAGAATGTTTGTCTGTTTCCAAGAAATAGTGGTGTTTTGCAAAATTTTAGTGTGATTAGTAATTGGAAGTATGGGTATGAGTGAGTAGTCAAATCAAGTTGTAGCTGAGCACTTGAAGGGTGTAACAAAATGGTGTGAAATCATCTTTGGGGTATCCCAGCTTGGCTGGGGCATCTCACATGAATAAATAGCATTTATTCATGCATGAATAAATATTTACCCTTCCAATGTTACTCCTGGCATCCCAGGTCTCCTTGGCTGGCACAGGCTGTTTAGGTATTTCAGCAACAACAGCTTCACATAGTTAGGCAGGGGAACAAGCTCTGCTGCAGGGGAAGGAATTGAATGTTGAGAAACCAGAGGTAAACACAGAGCAGAATGCAGCAGGTATTTTACTGCATAATTTTTTTACTGCATATGTACTTTAAATACTGGCCTGCTTTGCTAATTTAAATGCGGGCCTGGAATGGCAGCAGAGTGGGGAGGAAATTAATTTCTCCCTCTTTGATATTGTCCCACTAAAAGCTCATTTCTCCCTCCTACAACTAACAGCTAACCCCGAGGTAACTCCTTGGTGTTGTTCTCTCCTGGAAGAGGGGGAATTTGCCAGGATCATGCGAAGTCTCTGCCTGTGAGCCCTCCAGAGCGCAGGGCACGGGGTGGGCAGAGCTGGCAGGCTATGGGAGGACATCTCAAATGGTTTGTGACCATAAACGATGCAGACCTGGGCCAGCTCATCCCCTTGGCCCTCACCACTGAGGATGGTTCTGCTGCCAGCCCTGTATAAGCAGTGTGTGATCCCTGGCTGAGCTGTGGCATTCCCAATCCCTGTGCCTGCATCCAGCCTCTCCCACTTCCCCTGCACTCAGATCCCCTCTGCCAATGAACTCCCCAGCTCTGCCAGCCCTTCCCAGCTCACATCTCTCACCCAGGGTATCCTGCCCTTAGAGAGAGAAGTCATTAAAAAGAAGAAAGAATCAAATACCTGAGCCTGTAGTTGCTGCGTTTGTCTGTGGATTGGCTTTTAACGAAAATAAAAAAAGGTTAAAAAGTGAGCTGGTTGAGGAAAAGATGTGCTTTTAGGCCATCAGTTAATAGACATTGCAATGAGCAGAACATATTAGGACTAGGGAATATTATTAGCAGCAGTTCGGGGGAATAGAATTGTCATGGACAAAGGTTTCATACTAAGGAAAGTGTGGGGGCTTGGGTACTACATGTGACATATTACTGGCATTAATGGGAACCAGATTTAATTCTGTTTATCCCTCTGTGTGAGGCAATAACCCCATGCTCAAACGTCTGCTTTGCACCTGAAGTTCAGTTTCTTGTGTGTGTTTTACCAAAGCAGCCAAGTGCCTTTTATCAAAGTGTGGCTGCTATGGGCAGACTCTAAAATAAACCCTGGCTCTGCTCTGTGAGCAGCTGGGGCAGAGCATTATCAACCAGGGAGCAGAACTTGCAATTCAGTTTGTTCAAAAGACAAATCCCACTGTGGAAAACTAAGGTTCAAAGCAAATACCACTGAATATGTCAAAAGGATTCCCACTGCCCCAACTTCCAGTGGGGATGCAGCTTTGGAATACAGGGGGGCTGGCTTTGTAGGAGTGAGGTGATTTGGAGGAAATCTGAGTTTATGTTGGTGTGGTGTGTCTGCCTCAGTGAATTCCAGTTCCTTAGAACTTGTAGCAGAGCAATATCAAACTCCCATATCAATACCAACAATTCAGGTCCCTCAATTTTTATGGAAGCCAAAAGCAAAAAAAAAAAAAAAATTCCTAAATTTCAATATTAATTCCATGAGATAATGCATGGAGACAGGGAGCCTTGCCAGCACATCTCAGATCCCAGCTTTGGTGGGGAATTAAGGGTGTAAACCAGGGTAAATCTGCTTCATTTACCAGTGACAATGGCTGCTGTTTCAGGAGGTGGAGGGACTGATGCAGCAGGTGAGGCTGTCTCTGTGAGAAAAGAGAAAATTAAACATTGTATATGTTCTAATACATGGATGATGCACATGAAATACAGTGCAGTGTTCCCCACAGCTGCAGGAAGGACCAGAAATAAATACCTGGGATTTCAGCTCTGGTGGGCTCAGCTGCGACTGTCAAAGAGAAAATAAAAACCACCCTTCAGTGTCTGTTCCATGATTGTGGGGGCAAAGCCAGGGCTGGCAAGGGGGAGTGGAGCAGGATTTCACTCAAGCTTGATCCTGAAATTCTGACCAATACACTGAAGTCATACACACCTGCTGCTCCAGGTGTTGTGTCTTCTGCAGGGGCTGATCAGAGACATGAGACAAAACAAAACTGCAGGTTAAAAACTGCTGTCCCAGCCCTGGGCAGGTGAGAGATACCCAAACCCCAGGAGACTCAAGGTCTCACTTAGGGGTTGGACAATGTTCCAGAGTGGGAGGAAAACCCATCCCTGTGCTGCCTCTGACCATGGCACAGCTCTGGCAGCCTGGGCTGTTTGCTGAACACCAGTTTGGGGCTGGGATAAAGATTCTGACGTGCAGTTTGGGGCTGGGTTGAAGTTTCTGACATGCAGAGCCTGCCCAGTGCTGTGTGCTGGCGAGGGCTGGGAGTGCCTTGGTGGGCACTGAAGCTGCCCACTCCCATGGCAAATACATCCCAGAGTGTGCAGGGGTTGGGATGCAGCTCTGGGAGGTGCAGGAAGGATGATTTTCTGGGAGTGGGATGACCAGGTGCAAATCTGAGTTTGTATTGATGTAGGGTGCCTGCCCCATTGGCGCAGACATCTTTTCACTAAAAATCCTTTCTTGGGATTTTTTCCATTCTGAGAAGCTGAGAGGCCTCAGAAACAAAATGTAAACAATGGTTATCTGCTGCTGTGGAATGCATCAGGTGGATTTTTGATTGGGCCATCTTGAATGTTTACAATTAACAGCCAACCACTGACCAGATAGCTTAGACTCTCTGTCTGAGCCACAGATCTTTGTTATTCATTCTTTTCTATTCTTAGCTAGCCTTAAGAGGAAACCTTTCCTTCTATTCTTTTTAGTATAGTTATAATGTAATATATAGATAATAAAATAATAAATCAAGCCTTCCGAACATAAAGTGAACATTCTCATCTCTCCCCTCATCCAAAAACCCCTGTGAACACTGTCACACCCCATCCCAATGCTTTCATCAGGGCCAGTTTTTCTCTGTTTCCCCTTTCCTTTTTGCTCCTTTATTATTATCTGGAAGCCAAAGGAAAGGCAGGTGGGATTATCTCCAATTCTAACTGATGAAATTGCATTGTTATGGAGGCAGGGAGGCAGTCAATTCATGATCAGAGCATGGCAGACAGCTCAACATGGAAACCAGAGCAACACTTCATTACTTACAGGTGGCAGTGTCTGCTGCTGCAGCAGTGGATGCTGCTGCTGCTGTGAGAAAGAAAAGATTAATTTAAATATTGTCTGCATGTTAAATATATTTTTTTGCAGACACCCATAGCGTTTAAGCCATAGTTACTCTTTATTACTTACCAGGGGTGATGTCTGCTGGTGCAGCAGTGGATGCTGCTGCTGCTGTGAGAGAGAAAAGGTGAATTTTAATATTTTCTGCATGTTAAATGTATTTTTTCCCCCAACACGCATAGCATGTAGGCCATAGTTACTCTTTATTACTTACCAGGGGTAATGCCTGCTGGTGCAGCAGTGGATGCTGCTGCTGCGGTGAGAAAGAAAAGATTAATTTAAGTATTTTCTGCATGTTACATGTATTTTTTTTCCAGACACCCACAGCATGTAGGCCATATTTACTCTTTATTACTTACCAGGGGTGATGTCTGCTGGTGCAGGACTAGGAGGGACTGTTGCTGTGAGAAAGAAAAGGTGAAATTAAATGTTAAATTTATGTTTTTGCTCTGAAACTGGCAGCAAATAATCCAGAGTAACACTGTATTACTTACTAGTGGTGATGTCTACTGCTGCAGTACTAGGGGAGACTGTTGCTGTGAGAGAGAAAAGGTGAAGTTAAATTTTATGTGCATTTTAAATGTTTTTTGGGTTTTTTTAAAGACTGATAGCATATCCACCACAGTAATGCTATTTCACTTATGTGTGTTTACATCTGCAGGTTCAGCATTAGGAGAGACTGTTGCTGTGAGAGACAAAACATGAAGGTAAATTTTATGTGTATTTTAAATGGGTTTTTTTTCCCCCTAAAGACTGACAGCATGTATACCACAGTAATGGTATTTTACTTACATGTGTTTGCATCTGCAGGTTCAGCATTAGGAGAGACTGTTGCTGTGAGAGAGAAAAGGTGAGATTAAAGTTTATATGCATGTTAAATGTATATTTTTTTCTTAAGATTGATAGCATATCCACCACAGTAATGCTATTTCACTTACATGTGTTTACACCTGCAGGTTCAGCATTAGGAGAGGCTGTTGCTGTGAGAGAGAAAAAGAAGCAAAGATGAAATTAAATTTTATGTGCTTGTTAAAGGTATCGTTTTTTCCTCAAGACTGATAGTATGTACACCACAGTAATGCTATTTTACTTATGTGTGTTTGCATCTGCAGGTTCAGCAGGAGGGGAGACTGTTGCTGTGAGAAGGAAAAAGTGAAATTAAATTTTATATGCATTTTAAATGTTTTTTTTTCCCCCTAAAGACTGATGGCAAGTACACCACAGTAATGGTATTTTACTTACATGTGTTTGCATCTGCAGGTTCAGCATTAGGAGTGACTGTTGCTGTGAGAAAGAAAAGGTGAAATTAAAGTTTATATGCATGTTAAATGTATATTTTTTTCTTAAGATTGATAGCATATCCACCACAGTAATGCTATTTCACTTACATGTGTTTACACCTGCAGGTTCAGCATTAGGAGAGGCTGTTGCTGTGAGAGAGAAAAAGAAGAAAAGATGAAATTAAATTTTATGTGCTTGTTAAAGGTATCGTTTTTTCCTCAAGACTGATAGTATGTACACCACAGTAATGCTATTTTACTTACGTGTGTTTGCATCTGCAGGTTCAGCAGGAGGGGAGACTGTTGCTGTGAGAAAGAAGAAGTGAAATTAAATTTTATATGCATTTTAAATGGTTTTTTTCCCCCTAAAGACTGATGGCAAGTACACCACAGTAATGCTATTTTACTTACATGTGTTTGCATCTGCAGGTTCAGCATTAGGAGCGACTGTTGCTGTGAGAGAAAAAAGGTGAAATTAAATTTTATATGCATTTTAAATGGTTCTTTTTTCCCTAAGGACTGATAGCATATCCACCACAGTAATGTTATTTTACTTATGTGTGTTTATACCTGCAGGTTCAGCATTAGGAGAGACTGTTGCTGTGAGAAAGAAAAGATTAAATTAAATATTATGGGAATTTTAAATGTATAGTTTTTTCCACCAAGACCCATAGCATAAGCAGCAGAGTAATGCTGTTTTACTTAATACAGAACAAAAAGGTGAAATTAAATATTGTCTGCATTTTAACTATATACTTCTCCTCTGAGACCTACAACATTGCCTGTTTGTAGGAAATCAGGGCTTAGAACAGTGATAGAGCCTAATTTTTCTGGGATACCTTATAATTTAAGGGATATGGCTTGGGTTTGTTTTTCACATCCTTTAAACACTGCCTGGTTCAGCCTCTCTCCCCAGCTTCTTCACTGAGACATAGAGCTAGCAGTTGACTGATCTTGAGGTTCATTAATTTACTTTAATCCTATCAATGTAATCCATTTTGGTCAAACTCAAGCACTGCCATTAGATTTTATGGCATTGTGTCTGTATCTCACCTCCCGCCCGTGTGGACAGGATTCCTGCAGCCGGGGTTGTCACATCTGCTTCCAGGGCAGCAGGTATCAGGTTTGGTTCTGAAGTATTTGCAGAGGCTGTGAGAAAGAGGAGGAAACGTGGGAACGAGAGGGAAAGAGCACTCAGGTAAGGCTGGAGTCAGCTCTTGATGAATTTAAATGCTTTCAGATTCCTCTGGGCTCAAAATGTGCCCCATCCTCGCAGCAGGCTCTGCCCACAGCACTCACAGCGCCCGCCTGCCTGCTGGCACCGCATTCATGGGCGAACATGAGCTGCACTGAGAGATGCTCATTTGGCAGCATATTTTGGCTTCTCCACTGAGGTCCTGTCCCAGCCACGTTTATCTGACGTGCTGCACTTTGTGTAAATGCCCTTAACCTGTCTGTGGTGTAATTGGGATTTCTGATGTCCTGCTCTCCTCTGCGGTGGTGCTGGAAGGCAGGGAGGCTGAAAGGGTGAGAAATTAAGTGGCTGCAAGCAGCAATAAAACCTGTGTTAAAACCCTAAGAATAAATGGTTTTGGGAACCAGCTTTTGATTTCTGTGTTGCATATAGTAAAACATACACTCATGATTCTATACGGTAGAAAAATGCATTTTAATACTTGCTCTTCTGTGGATTATAAAGAGCATAATTAACACCTAGAAATCCCAAGAAACAGTAATAGAGTGTGTACTTTAAGGTTTTCAGGATTATTTCAGCAAAAAAAAAAAAATAGAATCAGAAACTTATACCTGGAGTGTAAAGACTTGCCTCATGTTTTCATTAATTATTAACAGGTAAGTGGCAAATACAGTTTGTACTAGCAGTGCCAAGAAATAATGAAAATAGAAAGAAATAATTGTGCAGTGGGTGAATAAATAGTAATTTAGAGCAATAACTTGTAATTCAGAGCATGTGCTTTCTAGAAATCTGTCTTCCAAGGAGCTGTAATCACATTTTTTTTTGAGTTAAAAATTAGGCTCTGAGCACTGGGGAGACTCTTTACAGAGCTAATTTTGGGACTCCTGTCCCAAAAGCTCAGCCTTACCTGTCGGTGCAACAGTGGACTGCACTGCATCTGTGAACAGGAAAAAAAGAGCAAGAGTTTACTTTGTTGGGCAGTTATTTATATTATATATTTATGACAAGAATTATTTTTGTTTCCACTCACACATGGTTCACAACTGGATGGGCCTCTAT